CTCCTGCCGCAGGTGGAGGAGGCAGGGCACGTCTTTCTCCTGATGAAGAAAGACTATCGCATCTCCCGCAACGTGCGCCTCGCCTGGGTCCTCAGCCGACTCCATCAGGTCATCTGGGCTGTGCCTGAGCCAGAGCTGGTGAGTTGATGCCCAGGGCTGGGTGGTGTTGCCACAGTCTAATGTGGCAAGCTAGCTCTGCACCATTGGGCTTTGCAGAAGATTTTAGCCCAGTTCCTTTCTCTGAGTCTTCCCTCGGCTTGGCTTGGTGTTCTCTCATGTACATTTACTTGTTCTTGTAGATAAAGTCAGAAAATGAACTTGATGTTCTCAGCATCCTGCCTAATGGGTGGCAGCCAGACGAGCCTGTTCAGCCCAGGCCCTATCTGCTTGTGCCCTCTACACGGGTCACCTTTCTGGCCCGCCAGTACCGATTTGTGATTGAACTTGATCTAAGCCCTTCCACAGGGATTGTGGTAAGTGCAGAAACTGCCTCTTTGGGGTGTTCTGGGTTAAAAGGTTGGACCTGTTTCTATTTGCTGTGAAAGATTATTGCTCCATATGTTAGTCTTAACTTTTGCAGAAGTCTTGCTTTTCCCAGGGCAGAGGCATGCAGTGCTCCTAGCTAGGCAGCTTAATGGCAGATCCTGTTTCTCTGCTCAGTGTGTGACTTTCGTTTATGGGGAGCTGCCATTTTAATCCTGCTGCCATTGCAGAAGGATGTTTGCTTTGGCTCTGCATGGTGGGGCAACCAGCAGGGATATTGGAAGTCCTAGGAGATGAAAAAGCTATTCCCTTTCTGTGTTTCTGTAGGATGACTCAACAGGGGAGATAATTTTTGATGAAGTGTTTCATGCCCTTTCCCGATGCTTGGTGGGATTGTTAAGACCCTTTCGTATTCCTGGTTCAGACATTATCTACCAGCCAGAGATCTTTGTCACCATCCAGGCGTATTCCTCCATCATTGGCCTGCAGGCCCATCAGGTAAAGTTCAGCCTCTGCCTTGCATGGCTCAGTGCATGAGCAGCTCACTGTATGGACTTCCTGTGAATGCTGAGAAAAGTAGGGCCATGTGGTAGCTGGGCTCAGTTATCTGTGGTGCTGCAGACTTGTCTCATTAAAATATGCAGCCTGGTGTGGTGGGGAAGTGTACGTGAGCAACTTCTCCTTTCTGGGCAGGAAGTGGAGGTTTCTCCTTGGGGAGCAGGGCCCAGCACAGAACACCACCCACAGGCACGGTCTCAGACTGGGCCACGGGCAGTATTTCCCTCATGTCAAATGTATGCTTGTTGTTGTTTTTTAATTTCTGTTGATTAATTCTTTTTGGCCTGTCATAATTAGCTTATCTGCCTGCTCCAACTGTGTAGCAGTGGTTTATCCAATGATAATTGCCTATTCCTACAAACCTTGGTCTCTTTTTGCACTGGTATGAATATGTTTCTCCTTGCTGGCGAGAGCAGCTGGCCTCAGGATTGAGATTATCAAAAAGATTTTACTTGAGCCGAGGCATGTCTGTTTAATAAATTAAAGCCTGGTTCATGGTGGCAATGTGGTTTTTGAAGTTCATCCTTGATTCCTTCCACTTCACCATATTTTCACATTATTTTCACGTTTCTGATGGCATATTTCATCCCTTTGTTAATACCACGGAAAGAGGGTCGTAAAAGGAGGAGCCTGTTAGTTTATGCTTGTTCCCTCCCTCTCTGTCCCCAGCCCGCCTCTGTCCAAGCCTTTAATGGTCTGTATAGTGCTTGGAATTTCGCCATTTGCCAATGATGTTTTGTATGTCATCTTGTCCAGCAGACATCATCGTGTCTTGCCTGGGTATCTTCCCCTGTTTAGACTAAATTGAGCACTCTGAAGTTGCTATATTTTTCTTCTTTGGATCTCTCTAAAGACCCATTTATTGTTTGAGGCCAGGAACTGTAATCTCTGGGTACAACTGGATAGGCTTTGTTTTTATTTCCTTTTATGGGGGAAAAGGCATATATGTTTATCACTTATCCAGGAAAGCTTGTCTATATTGCAATAATTAACTTTTCCTATGTCACTATGAGGTCTTACCCATCTGAGGTTGAGACAATGTGGATAACATGCACTGTCCCACCCGTCTGTTGAGTTCTTTGTCTACACATATCTTCTTTGCCTCCTGGTTGTGGACAGAGATTGCCTGTACAATGGTGGCATCTGTGAACATAAGTGTCATGCCTATCAGTTTGGGGAGTTTCTGTGGTGGCAGGCTCACTCTGTTGCATCACTCAGCCTCTTTTGTAATGTCCAGTTTAATTTTTATTCTTTATTTCAATTTGCTATTCCCTTGTCCAGCCACTTACTGGAAGGTAATTGGATCAGTCTGTAGGTGAGTTAGATTAGAGCAAAGAGGCCTGTCTTAGAAATATCAGCTTAATGGCTTCTAACAAGGATCCCACGTTGCTTTCTCCTGACAACTGTTTATCCTGGAAGAAGGTAAATGAAGTAGCAATTTCTTGCCCAAGAAGGACATTTCCCAAAGAGTGATGTCAGCATCTGCTGCAATGTGCGCTGCAGATGCCGCAGGCAGTTGGCGCTGAGCAGTAATAGTGAGAAGAGGCCTGTGCTGTACCTGTACTTTGTGAGGGATGTGTCTGAACTTACCCGTGCAGAACTGTGCTCCTGTGTACCATTTTGGGGGCTGGTACTACAAAGCTTAACTTGGTGACTGACATGTGTGTCCTTGGGCCAGGTACTGTTCCAGGGCTGTCAGCTGGATGAAACAAAGCGAGAGGCCTTTCTGCACCAAGTTTACACACAGCTATGTGCCTTTGAGAACAAAGTGGCAGAGGTGCTCCAGCAACAGTATGAACCCAGACCACAGGTGAGGAGGGCAGAGGCAGTTGGGGTCTGGTTTCCTGCAGATTTGCACTCTGAGTGCCCTCTGTGGTGGGGTGGCAAGAGGAACAGCAGCATAGGTCTGGAGAAGGAACAGCTAAGGAGTTTATAAGATAACTTTGTGGGATCCAGTAACGAGGCATGAACACTGAGGAAAGCAGAACCAGTAAGTGTTTAGAAGGACTGATGAGAATGGTTACCTTCCCCAAGACTATTGTGCAATAAAGCAGCCTGACTTCTTGTACATCATGGGACAAACTGTAGGATGTGCTCTCTGAAGAAGATGGTGGGAGAGGTTATTATGCCCATATCATTAATCTATAAAGAGCTGCAAATATGCCCTTGGCCCTTGTTACATTCCTTGTTACCATGAAAACTGACCGTGAAACTGAGTAAACAGACGGTGCAGTTTCTAATAGTGCTTGAAATCTGTGGCAGATGCTGTTTAGTAGCCACAGATATAAGTATCAGCAAGTTAATGATAGCACTATAAAATACAGTTTAGGATGAAATTAAAAGTGAGACTCTGTAGGGATTCAGAATGACCATGGATTTCTCATCAAGATCATCTCTTGCGATCTTGGAAATGAAGAATGTGAAGGTTACATTGTGATACTGCCATGTTAAGAAAAAAAACAGTCTCAAAATCAGATGAGCAAGAGGCTACTGGAGGTCTATTGCAGTTGCGTATCTGAAGTGCTTCAAATCTCATATTCTAGGTGAAATTTATATCTTTGAATGCTAAGACTGTCAGTCCTGGAACAGAAGGAAGATTGCAGGAAGTAAATACCTTTACCAGTGTGTCCATCTGGCATTTTTGCAGTGTTTTGTATGCATTCTTGTTTGTTGCATTATTTCTCTCATGGTAAACAACCCTATAACTTCCGTGTGGATGGGGGAAAAGATGCACTTGCAGGCCAGAGGGACTGGCAAGTCCTGCCACAGGCTGTGGGGTGGAGGTGTGAGGCCCCAGGGGAAGGGCAGGGACTGAAACTTTTTTACTTTTGAAGTTGTTAGCTGTATCATTATCAACAAGTGTCTGAATTTAAGGCATCTGGCCAATTAAAGTGATGGGTAGTCAGACTTTTTGCTTACAGCCACAGACTGCTCCCATTTGTGCAGAACAAAAGTTTAGTTAGTTCTAATTTTCTTTTACCAGCTCAAATCATCTGTAACTTTGCAGGGGAGGGTCTTCCCATTCTCTGTATTAGCGGTAAAAATGAAGCAATAGTTTTTTACAGGGTTGAACTGCCAGAGCCTGCTGGAGATGACGGGGCTGTGAACGCAGTAGGTTTGTCACCCATGTAATTATACAAATTTCAGGCTTTGCCTGGGGGCTGTTCTTCATAGAAGATGCAAGAGAAGCCTACTCGCACTTGCTTATATTAGCATGGCATAACTGCCATTTGAACAGGGTTAAATATATAGGCACTAGACTTTGTCCTTACGAGGTTCCTTACCCCCTCTGCTGCAGTGCTTCATAAGTGAGACATAGCTGTCTCTGCCTCTCCAGCATTTCTGGGCTTTACTTAAGTAGATGCTGAATAGCTTCAGCTTCTGTTAAATGACAAGGAAAAAAAGAGATGTTCACCATGTCTTTAATTGAGAACTGCTTTGCTCTGCAGAGGAGCTTTAGTGACCCCAAAGTGTCTCTTCTTTCCCCTTCTGTGAGAAATCAGGTTATAATAAAGTTCTGAGCATGTTGTCCCCTTCTTCCGCCCCTGAGCAGCCTTGCCCAGCTGTTCTAAGGGGCCCAAGTGACCAGGACTTCGGCAATAAAACTAGAATTGGAGTCTGCTTTAGGGCTGTGGTACCATGGGGCTGCTAGACTGAAGGCTGTTTGGGAGAGTGAGAACTAGAGCTAGGCTGAAGTCTGCCCCATGGGGCCTTGTGGGTCTTTTTTTACTTTTCCAGGTGGATTTGTCGCCCCTGAGCCAAGAGAGCCCTGGTGATGTGCAGGAGTCATCTGGGAGGAAGCCCAGTGTGTCTGTTGTCACTGCTGATGTTGGCCTTGTCAGCATGGTTCGGCAGGGGATCCTAGCACTGCAGCTGCTGCCCTCCAACTCCAGCGCAGGTTGTCTTTGTACTCTGGGTTAAGGTTTGCCCAGTTGTTTGCGAAGGGTTGTATTCCTCCTGCCTTGGGCTGAGATTAATTTTAAAAGGGCTGATGTGCGGACCCTTCTGTTAGGGATGAAATTTCCAGAGCAGCTTTTGCTCTGTGCTCTGTAGGAATGGGGACAACATCACAGTGCCACGTGCCACGTGTCAGCATCAGGGAGTTTGTGAGGAAGCACAGCTATGACTGTTGCTCGGGATAACCCAGGGTTTGCAGAGCTGTGCCCTGCCAGAGTGCTTTGCTGTACCTGGTCAGGAAGTTTGCCAGGTCCAGAATGCCTTGGAAGCTCTAAACCAAAGTATTTTCCTTCTTGCTTTTGCCCTGCCTAAATTTTATCTCTGGTGCATATACTGAGAGATTGGTAGCTGATTGAGATGGAAGATGCACTAAGATACTGCCTTATTTACAGGTATAATAATAATTACGGATGGTGTGACTAGCGTCCCTGATGTGTCTGTGTGTGAGACTTTACTCAACCAGCTCCGCAGTGGCACAGTGGCCTGCTCCTTTGTACAGGTATGTCTGCCATTAGCAGGGAGTGTGGGGGCTGCTGCCTGCCAGAGGGAGGAAGGTGGGTTGCTGTCGGTAGTGTTCACCTCCAGAGGGGAAGAGGGGACCTCCCTTCCTGTTTGAGGCCTTTTGCTAGTCCTCTGCCTTGTCCTCAGCACTGCTGTACTCTCAGGTTTCTTCTTTATCCATCCCGTAGGTGGGCGGTGTCTACTCGTACGATTGCAGCTTTGGCCATGTTCCCAATGTGGAACTGATGAAATTCATTGCCATGGCCACTTTTGGTGCTTACCTCTCCACGTGCCCTGAGCTGGATCCCCTGAGCCTTGATCTGAATGTGTATCACAAGGCATTTCTGCTGTACTCCTTTCTGCGTACTGGGGAGTCCCTGAATCCAGAATACTACTGCGGTGAGGAATGTGCATGTCCTCCTTCCAGCAGATGGATGTCTTGCAGCACCCCTCTTTGGGGTGACTCCCTCGGGCTTGGTTATGCTGATGCTCTCCCTTGTCCCGTCTGGGCCAAGCCTCCTGTAGGCTTTGGGCACAATTGGGCCACGAAGCCTCATCTGTGACTCCCCTCCTGGTTCCAGGAATTGGGTGAATTGCGGAAAACTAGTGTCCCATTTTGCACTGTTCCCCTTTCTGTGAACTTCACTTAGCAAACTGCAGTTAGGCCTGCTGTGTTGGGACTTGGAGAGGGTGAGAAGCCTTTGTCTGACTTTTCCCGCACACTGGCTAGCTCACAGATGGGGATATTTTGGAGAGCTTGTCCTAAACAGGCTTGCAGATGGCAGTTTGGATTGAAAAACTAGACCCCTGAGAACTGTCCCAAATGTGTGTCTGTTGTTCTTATTTTGTGAATGTTAGTGACTGAGAGTATGCCAGGAGAGATTAGTTAACAGAAAACGTGGAAACACATTTCGTGCCCTGGCGATATGCTAGTGCCATCTGCACTTTCTGTAACTTGGCAGCAGAAGCCACACACAGTGAGAAGTTTGAAGAGAGCTGGTCTGGGAGTTGTAAAAGTTGAATCTTAAGATCAGATGTTAGTGGTTTAAACTCAAGGCTTCCACATCCTGATACCTTTTAGAAAGCACCTGAGAATTCACGGCTTTCCAGTGAAAGGGGTAAAGCCCAAAAGCTTGCTGTGTGATTATTGCAAGAGCTGTGCAGTTTCTGCCTGTCTAGGCTGAACACGTGCCTTGTCACAAAGGTTGTCTCTGAGTAAGCAGGGCCTGGCAGCTCACCCTACCCCTTTCCCAGGCCTCTTGGCCACACTAGTGGACCTGTTTGCTGCATTGCAGAATCAGGAGTGGGTGTAAGTGGTGCCTGAAGGATGTACTATTCTTCAAGCCAGTGAGTGTTCTTGGCAGCTTTTGTATAGCTCTTTAGGAGGGCTGTTGCTGTAGGATGAGGAACAGGAGCGTTGCTCTCTTGCAACCCAATCTCTGTTTTTTGTAGTGTCCCAGCACAGACTGTTCAATGAGCATCTGGTGTCTGCAAGCAGCAACCCTGCTTTGGCCATGAGGAGGAAGAAGCACACTGAGAAGGAGGTGCATGCTGACCTTGTGAGCATTGTTTCGGTCCGACTGCGTGAGGGCTACAGCATCCGTGAAGTCAGCATCACAAAAGGTGACTGTAGGGGCGTTGGGGGCTGGAGGCTCAGGCAGGACTCTTCTCAACTGTTTAGAGGAAAGTGCAGGGTCTGCCATCTCAGTAGAGTGGCTGGTATTCTGGGAAAGAGCCATTTTCTCCAAACTGTAAGTTTGTTTTCCTGAATAATTGCCTGACACAGGACTGTCTAGTGTTGTTGTGCAGTTGTGCACTTGCCAGGCTCATCCTCTGTGGCTATAAGTGCCTAGGGAGGGACAGACAGACTGTGACCCTCTGTGTCTTGGACATGAGTATCCAGAATTGCAGGAAAACTAGTGACAGAACTTGGGGTTTTGCAGAGTTTCCTGCAATTTCCTCTATATTTCTCCTTTTTTTTCATCCCTTTCTAGTCCTTTGTTCGATGCACTCCAGAATACTAACACAAAGTTGAGCCCTTTGGTATAGCAGATTTAATGCCTCCAAACTGCAGTCTTCCAAAGGAAGAAATTGGGGGAAACAACAATATTATTAGGTGAAAGTGCCAGATCAGTCAGGACCATGACCAATACTAGAAGAATATAAAACTATCCAGTGGTGCTGTTCTCTCATCTGGCACTCTAGAGATTATGGCACCTGGAGTGTGAGAACTAGCTGCTGACTAGGGACCTTGAGGGGTTTGGTTATCCTAAGGAGTGCCACTAAACCCTGCTTAACTTTCCATCTCCAGCTGTGACTAGTGGTAGTGCTTTAACTGAAGGGGAGATGAAAAAACAAATACAGGGTATGAATTGCAAGCAAGAGAAGAAATTGTTCTTGACTGTCATAACGATCAGCAGAAAGCCTGGATGATGGGATTCTTAAAACACAGCGTGAACGTGTACAACACATGGTGATCCAGTGTCTTCATTATTCTTTTTGGGATATTGGTATACAGAATATGTTTTATATCAGAAAATCATTCCAAACTTGCCATATGATGTTTTCTATTAATTTACTGTGGTCTGCCTTAAAACCATGTAAATATCTTATGCCACTGCTCTGCTTGGAGGAATATCCCAGAGCTTCATTGCTCTTTCTCTAGCTTCCTTTCTAAACTGACTCAGACCAAATTAGATCTGTGTGACTTTATTATCCTTGATTAAGTTTATCCTCTTTCTCTCTCTGGCATTGCACAAATGTATTTAAGAACAATGCCTTTCTCCTTGTAACCTCCCTTTTGGCAGGTTAAGCAAGCCAATGTTTCGGGCTTCTTTTGTAAGGGTAGGCTTTCTGTTCTGTTTATTCATCTTAATAGCACTTTTTCTTTCCTCCCTCAGTTGTTCTGTTTTCACAGTTTGATCTCATATTTCTTGAAACAGTTAAGCGTAATGTGGTTTTGTCAGTGCCTTGTTCAGCAACACTAATACTTGTTCTGAAGTAAAATATCATATCTGATAGACTAGGAATCGTATGAGCTTTCTTCATTATTGCATTGCATTGTTACCACAGAAATCCCTGCATCTTTCATGCACCTTTGCTTCCAGCTGAGGAGTCCTTAGAGGGGTTTTATTGTTTTTTGTTTGTTTGATTAGCAGTCCCTAAATGTTGCTGTTCTTCACATAATAGTACTCTTAAGTTCCTCTTAAGTTCATCTCACTCAGTTCAGCTCAATATTCGTGTGTGATGACTGGCAATTGTAGTTCTTCTGGCTTGATGCTTCTTACAAACTGAATGGATCTAAACCAGCTTTCTTGGGAAGGTTGCTAACAGTCATGTTAGGAGGGATAACTTCTAAAGTTGGTCTTCCAGGTATACCCCTGATTTCTTGTTTGAGGAGTTTTTTATTAAAAGTAAGAATCTGCTAAGGTTTCCCATGGAGAATGTCTGCAGATTGCTTTCACTAATCTCCTGTACGTGTGGTATGAGATACTTCCCTTAAATCCAGGCAGATTAGGCCCATCGCACTCTCCTTGTCTAGGATTGTCTGTGAAACAGTCTGACAAGTCAGTTACTGTCCAAGCTGTGCTCAGTATTGTGTCTTTCATTCGTCTATGCATCAATGCGCTTACAGCTTGGACAGCTCTGGAGAAAGAGCCTTTATTTAATCTGGTAGCAATGGTGAAGTGCTCTTGGTCACTGTGAAGTCCTGTATAGAAATGCTGGAAGAGGTAGCAGGTGTGAACCATTCAAAAAGCAATCAGACAAGTTCACGTTGTACCTTTTTGCAGAAAGGTGTAGCTATAACCTCTGGCTCAGGGTATCATAAAGCAGCAAATTCCTGGATCTGGAGGAATGTATCAGAAATATCACCACATGTTCGCCATGCTCCCTGCACTTTTCTCTAAGTATCTTCCTGCTGCCTTTTAGCCCTGGGAATGCTACATGGATTGGCTTTCCATTTTTACAAGAGCAGAGAGCACAAGAGCAGCTGCACTGGATCAGAGTTACATTCTGTGATGAGTATCTATGGGCAGGTGCACAGGAAGGAGTAAGAATAGGATAAACATACACAACATCTTTCTCCTTTCCTTTTTTCTTGCCTTTGAGCACTGTCTAGCTCTTTGAGGAATACTTACTGTGTATTTTGATTACCTTTTTTAGAAGGAATTTAAAAATGAAATGCCTGAGCTATTAAAAATACAGTGAGTATTTCTATGCCAGCCTTCAGAATAGTAGCCGATAGTTTGGGAAGGCTAAATGGACTGGGGAGTTGCTGGCTGTGGTCATAAAAATTGTTGAACTAACATCTTAAAGCAGAATTTACAAAAGAATTTACATGCTAAGGAAAAGCATATTTGGCTAATCAGGGCTCTCTGGTCCATTCTGTAGAGACGTATATAACAAAGAACAGTTAATTAACCTGGATTGCTAAAAGCTTTTGCCAAAACTTACAAACTAAAGGCTGTTAAGGAGCCATCTGTCTGTGAAGCAAGAGGAGAGAGTGCAGTTGTGAACTTTGACACTGTTGGTTTTCTGCTTCACTTTGCCAAAGGCAAAATAGAATAAATAGCTAGCTTTGCGCTCAGAATTGCCTGGAGAGGTTGTTTGTGATATTTGTAAGTGGTCTGGTTACCCTCACTATTTGAATTTAGATATATATAGGCATTTAGAAGGCTATTACGGTTAGTTAGGCATGCAGAAGTGCTTTTGAAAGGGGGAGGATTGGAAGGTATTTAAGGGGGAGAAGCTGTGTCTGAGAAGCTGTGGGACCATGGCATGTAATGGAGCTCAGCTCCTCTTCTGTTTCTTTCTTGGACAATGTCAGAGGATTGCCCTCTTTAACAAAAAGCACGTCTCACTCCCCATTTTGTGTCACTGTGTGTTGAGGAGAGCCTGGAGGATGTTTCTGAAAACCTCATCTTCCTGTGTGAAACAGTCCAGCACCAAAAATAGCTGGCCAGTGAGAATGGCTGTTCTTAGTGTCAGGAATTGGGAAGACAAGGTGAGTTTTCTGAAAACCACAGCTGGACTTTGTGAACGAAATCAAAGCAGCAAAACCTTTTTTTTAGCTATAAATTCACGAATCAGAAATAGATTGCTTTGCAATAAGAACAAGCTAAAGATTCATCTAGGTATGACTTCAAAGTAAACAAATACTGTGCCCGTGCTTTTAGTTTTGCTTTTGTTGGATCATAGGAGTGAAGCCAGGATGACTAATGGAAACGCAAGTGAAAGTAGGAAACATTTTCATTAACAATCTAGGCAAAAAATGTAGGAATTTAGTTATCATGTTTGCTGTTGATGAAATAGAAAGGCTTCGTTATGGGAACCAAAATATTGTGCAGAAAGCAGCAGATGAGCGCTAAAGCAACGAGTGAGGTGGCAGTATGAAATGGAAAGAGACAAATTTATAAATTCTTGTTTAGTCTCTCTGATAAGCTAGAAAATCTTCATATGGAAACAACAGATGGTACAACCCTGGCAAATGCATTTATAGTAATGCAAAGAATCCATTGTGGAAAATATTAGTGACCTTAAATAAAATCCTGGTAATACTTCAGATAGAATACAGGTGAAATATAGTGCACACCTTTGATCGTCTTTGTTCAGGAAAGATGAATTATTGAGGTGCAGGAAGGTCTGGGACTGTTAAGGGGAAAAAATTCTGTCGTAGGCTGATGACCATGGCTTGTTAACCTGCACAGTAACAGCTAAAACTGGGTAAGGATTTCATCCCCTAGTGCACACTCCTTGTCAATGTTCTAAGAAGCTTCATTTCTATAATAAAAATAATTTATCAAAAGAACAACCAAGCATGAATTTGGCATGTGCTTTGGAAGGTTTCTTCTAAACATTGACGGGGGAAGAGTACTCCCGAGGGAGCCACCCAGCAGGGACCATAGGAGCAAAAAGCAAGATGGCTTTAAAATGGAGTGTAATTGGCCTGTGAAGGGGATGGCATGATGTGCCGATGACAGCAGCAAATGCAACTCTGCAGAAAACATAGGATCCAAGCTGATGACCTGTTCGGACGATTTCCAGCACATCCAATCACTTATCTCACAAATGCTGGCAAACTATAGAGCAGGCTGGACATCAAAATAGATGATTGAGCAGTTGAAACAGCAGCGTGGCACTGTTATAGAAAGTCACGTGTTTCCCTGAGTTGTTTTGGTACGAATACACACGCACAGTCAGCAGGAGTGTGACAGTTTTCTGCTCTTCTGGCTCAGTGAGGCTTGCTGTCAGGTGTTTGTGTTAATCTTGCTAGAGATGCAATGGCCCCCTTAAAGAAGAAGGTAGAAATATACAGTTTGAAGAATGGGTGAATATTCATTCTTAACTTCTTACCTTTGGAAAGAGAAGAGAATAAACATGGTGAGAAGCTTTTGATCCTTGAAGTTCTAGATTGCATGGAATACTGTCAGTGCAGGAAGAACATGGAGTTTGTTCAAGAATTCGGCCTCATCTTCCAGGTTGTTTATGATCTGGACCCATTGTGTCCAAATGTCCACGTTTCTACAATGGGATGGATTAACTCTGCAGAGTGCAGATGAGAAAACTTAGCTTAAAGGCCCTGCTCATCTGTGCAAAGCAACAGTTTTCATGGAAACAAAGATGAGGCTGTGAAGAAGAGAGCCCATTGCAAAAGTCAGCACCTCCTCTGAGTTTCAGTTGTCTTCTTTAGTGTAGACACTACATGTACGTTTAAAGAACTGTTCACCAAATGCTACTGTGTAAGCAAAGCCTCCCTCTGTTGGGGAGGAGAGAGAATGACTTCAGCTAGAGCAAACAGTTGTTAGATTACTTTGTCCTCCTCATAGCAATCAAACAATCTCACTGTACTCGGGAGTCCCTGGTCCTAGTTAAAGTCAGATGTGAACCAAACAAGCACTTTAAGTTATTCCTCTGCTTCCATTCAGGTGGATCTCAGTTGGAGGTGAAACTAGTGCTCCTTTGGAAGCATAACATGAGGATAGAGTACTTAGCTGTGACACCCTGGCCCCTGGACCCATCAAAGCGCAGCACATGGGTGGAGGTGACGATGGAGGGAAGCTATGACATCTTGCATGACATCAGTTGCACCATGAGGAAGCCTATCACCAGTCTGTACCGCACAACAGTTATCCGGCGCTTCTGGAACACCTTGCAGAGGTGAGCCAGACCATCCGCAGCAGTTCCCAGTGTCTGATCTAACCAAGAAATTCCTTTCTTGGCATGCTGGGGCATGGGTTATACAGGTGGCCATCCCATCCCAGGGTCCCAAAGGAATGTGTTCGGAGGAAGAGGTGTGACTGGCGACAAGCTTGCTGTCTAGCCAAGGAAAAGACTTGCACTGGCCTGTGACCTAGTCTGTAAGATTGCTTCATGGTGAAGGTGTTGCTGCCCCTGAGTCCTGATCCTGTGATGCAAACCTTAACTCTGACTGCCTTCCCATGGAAGTTCTTACAGCATAGCCTTGCAGCTGTGCGGGATGGTCATGCTAGGAGCGACACCTCCTGTCCCTCGGCCTAAAGGGCCTGTGGGTTATAACCATTACTCCCTGCTATTTGGCACGTTCCTTTTTTAGCACTTCATTCCTGACTCTGATCATCCTCCTTATATATTAGATTGTTATACTTGAACTCCCTTAACATGCTGTTTGCAATCAGGCATTGTATCCCAGCATTGCCCTAGAAAACTATGTTGGTGTAGATGGGTTCCCAATACATAGGAGGTGCTGTGTGGGCAGGCATGGGGCTGACTCGGGCAGCACAGGGGAGAGCCTGGGCTTTTGTGGCTAACTGCCTCTTCTCTTTCAGCATCAACCAGACAGATCAGATGTTGGTTCACCTGCAGTCTTTTGACACAGTCCCAGAACACTTCACCATTCCTGAAAGCACCAAGAATGGGGTTCCCCTCTTCTACATCCCCCCAGGCTCCACCACTCCGGTATGTTCTCTCTCTCTCTCCTATTTGATGTGGAATAGATTGTCACTTCTGCCTATTCTGTCTTGTATCAGGGATGCTTGATCCCAACAGGCAATCAAGATCTTCTGTAACTGTCAGGCTTCATCTCTTGCTCTTTGTCCTGCTCAGTAACAGAGTTCAGGTGCAATGCAGTGAACATCCCATCCCATACTTTTTCCCCTCTGAGACATCACCCTATGTCTTTATTGCTGCAGCTACACCAAGTAGCAAGTCTCCTGTGTTCTGTGAAGCCTTTACCTGAGGTGATGTGGTGTGCGAGACTGATGGGAAGGCTGATATGCTTATTTTTGACGTGTTTTTTTCAGTGGATACCTCGTATGTATGGAGTTGCTGCTGACAGTCTTGTGCCTTGGTGATGTAGCTCAGCACCATGAGGTGAAGGTATAGGATGTGCTGAATAGTTGTTGTTTAATAGGGTTATTACTCTAAGCACTGGTGTGGAAGGTGCAAGAGACATACTTGCCATCTGCACAGCAGAAACTAAACAAAATACGAGCTAATAGTTTCCACTGCAGTGTTCAAACTCATTGAAGCTCACTGAGCAGAAGTGCTAGAATACTATCTGTTGCCTGCTAGCAATGTCCTTGGCCTTGGTAGAAGATGTCTAGCAGATATAAAAGCTAGGGGAACTTTCATTTAAGAGAACTATGCTTTTAATTTTATTGCTTAAGCCCTTTACTGCTTCAGGTTTGCCTAGTAAATTTTCCACTATGTAGGGTTCTATATCCCACAGAATTTCTGGAGCATCCCATCTTATGGCTAACTGCCATTTTACTTCTGTGTCAGCAGAGTTGTTATAATTGGTGGAATCACAGTGTTACCATACAAACATGTTAGAGTTGTATAATGCCACCCATTGCTGGTACCCTATTTGCATGAGCACTCTCAGATGAGTTATCTCAGTGTTTAATTGCTCTGCTGACACAAGCCATATATACCTCTCTCAATCAGAAAGCACACCATTACATATGCCATCTTTTCCATGGTTGATTTACTTGATGCTAAGTAGTTAAACTCCTAATTAACTTGACTTTTCTGGAACTTAATTTCTTTTTGCTTATGTTGTACTGCCTGTTTCGATGTCAGTGCACTCAGTTATTCTGCTAAGAGGCAGTTGGCGGAAGCTAGGGATGTGGCTAGCCTTCTAGGCCTAAACAACTCAGATGCTAGAGAAATTCCTGCTCTTTCTAGATGGAACCAGACAGTTTCTTGCTAAATATTGCCCTGTCATTTTTTCAGGTGCTATCCCTGCAACACAGTGGATCTGACTCAAGCCATTCCCAGTTTGCCTCCTACTGGAAGCCTATCCTTTCCATGGATGCCAACTTCTGGCAGAGGTGGCTGCACATGCATCGTATAGTCCTCCTTCTGGAGCATGACACGTATGTAACTGGCAGGACTGAGCTCATGTGCACAGTGAGCCTGGGAAAGCAGGGCATGCAGTTCAGTCTAGTTGTGGAGTTGCAGCTATCCTTGCTAGTGGGACCTGGTGGATGGTGAAGGCTGATTTATCTGAGAGAGACTGTGGGTTAGGAAGTCATCTTTGTCAAGAGCGGAGGCTCTTCTCAGGACCATAAATTGTTTCTCAAGTCCCTCTTGGGTTTAGATTTCCTGATGGCAGGGGGTCTGGACCATCCAGTTGAAGCTATCCCACACATTTTCATTTGCTGCTGGAAAACATCTTCACCAAAAGATGTTTTCCTGCGGCTGGTCCTAGTTGCAAAGTTATGTGAATAATAGCTATATATTGTATGGAAAGAGAAACAATGCAAGGTGGAGAGCAGGATCCCTGTGCGCTCAGGGAGTGTGGCTCTCTCCAACAGGCACAGGCAGGCAAGGTGCTTGAATATTGGCTGTTGTGGAGGAAGAAGGCTGATGTACCAGACAGCGAATAAGTTGGAACAGATGTAGCAAAGTCTGTGAAGAAGAGAAACTGGGTTTTAAATTACTTTCTGCCACACTCTGCAGGCCGGTACCCAAGCACCTTCACACGCCTGGCAACAATGGCCGCTACAGCACTATCCAGTGCCGCATCTCTCACTCGGCACTCACCTCCTTGCTGCGGGACTGGAGCAGCTTCGTGTTGGTGGAGGGCTACTCCTACGTCAAACTGATACATGGGTGAGTGACTCTGAAACAGCCCTGTGTGGGGAATTGGGCATATGTCCAGACCAAAGATCCAGTTAGACCAGTACGCTGTGATGGTCTGGAAGCAATTGTCTAGAGAAAGGATAAGAGCAACACGAGTGAGTATGTAACTCTGTGTATTCTGAACTGCTGCCACTGTGTTCCAGGCACAGCCCAGAGGGAGAGGGAAGCTGGGTGGGGGGTTTCTGCATGCTAGAATTGACATATGTTGCTTGCCAAGTTGTGTGGGCTGTTGAGCTCTGCCAAGCAGGCCTCTGCTTGGTCTGACACGACAAAGCAGCAAGGTCCATGCTATTTGAGCCCTGTCTTAATCCCTCTTCCCTAGCTCTGAGGATCCCACACCTTCTTCGTTTTATGTGGTGCGGATCATCTCCAAAGCTCCCTGCATGGTTCTCCGGCTGGGGTTCCCCATTGGCACACCTGCACAGGCCAGGAACAAGGTGAGAGCTGGCTGGCTGCTTCTTGGGGTAGGAGCAGAACAGGAAGTTCTGGATATGGAAGTGGTAGCTAGATCACAGGCAACGCTGTGAGCAGGTATGCTCTAGTAACTAACTACTATGTTGAGGCTTAGATGGGTGTGAAGTTACAGTAACAGAAAGGGACAGTTTGGACAAAGCTTTCTGTGTTAAGTCTGTGAAAGATCTAAACCCAAAGACTCAAGGATCAATAGAATAGCTGATCACATAAATGTTTTTCCCACTGCTTAATTCGACTGTGGGGCTTGAAATGACTCAAAGGTTATCTAGTCTATCCTTGTGATGAAAGCACAGTCAATACTGTCTGTCAGAAAGAGCAGATACTTGTCTGACTCATCTGTAAAGACCTGTGTGATGGATGCACTGCATGCTCACTAGGCTATCTGCTTCAGTGAGTGGTGAATTGCATATGTATATTGTATCATTTGGGCAAGGAGGAGTTGAGTTAAAATGCAAACAATGACCTGCATGAGCAGTACAGGGAGAGCAAAAAAAAGTAATACCCAGAAGATGTTTTAAAGAGATGCAAGTCTGCTAGATAGACTTTTAATAACCTCTTTATATTGGAAGAAATGGGCTGCCCTAGTCAGATGTGGAAGGTGGGGTTACTGTGTGGACTGTTTGTCGAGCTCTAATGGCTCAGACAACTCTTGAGTGTTCCTAGGTGAAACAGTAAGTATGAGAAAAATATCCTGCTGTTAAGCTGTGTGAACCTTTTGTTATAAACAGGAGCTTTATCATTAAAACTTGATCTTTTGTTTTCCTGAAAGAAATCTTTGGTTTATCTCACTTAGCTTTGGTGTTAGATTAGTCTGAGAAGAAAGTGACAAACATGGGGAGGACCATCTCTTTCTGAGATAATGAACCCAGATAACACTAAATGCTCTGGCACTCTGGAGGATCTGGCCTTTCATGTCTTTAGGGGATCCAGGCTTTGGGCACTGATTGCTGGGCCAGCAAGTGGGCAGTTGATGCCAAGTGACAGGTTTTCTGCAGGAGTTCCTTCTGGCAGGTGTAAGTTAATACCTGTCTCATGAAGAAGGTGTGAGACAGGCGCCATACCCTGCAGCTCTGGGCAAACTCCAGATCATTATTGCACCAGGAGCTGTACATGGATCGTAAATTGTATCTTGTGCAATCTTTTTTTTTTTTTTAGCTAACCACCTTGTTTAGGGGAAGGGTTTTTCTGTGTTGAACTATTAAAATTTCCAGTGTTTAAGGGAAGGAAAGCACCTGGTACAGTCTGACTTTAGAAGGCTTTTGGTGAGACTCCATACAGGGTGCAACTGTGGAACTGCAGTAGGAATTGGGTGTCGTGAAACAGAAACTGTCTTAGGGAACAAGGCAGGGAAATTGAAAAAGGTGCTCTGTTCTCATCAAAGCAGAAGCTGTGTGTGTGTTTTTTCCGATCTTTTTTCTAATGAAAAGGTAGGGAACTCATCTGCAGGTAAGCCACAGGTAGTGAGCTGGGAAAATCTGCAAGTGGCACAAAGCTGTTTGGTTTTGACACGTGAACAGTAGTGGGGGAACACAGAAGCTGTGGGAACAGTCTGGCTCTGTCTTATATGTACTAGTTTACATTTACTGTAGTCTGTTGAGGAGAAGAGGAGGGGAGGAATGAGGGTGGGTACTCAGTTTGCTTCTGTGGAGGAGCTGGCATGCAATTGGTTTGGTTTTCGTCAGAGTTATGGAAGGTGATTTCTTCAGCCTTGAAATTTTCTTTAGTTTTTTTTTTAACTTCTCTTTTACTTTTAAAAATATTTGTAGTGGTTAAAATGTGGACCCAAGAGCCTTGTGTCATTTTGATCTTGGTCTTGCTAGTGCCTTGGAAGTAAAATTACTTTAACTCCTGCTCATCTGTATATTCAAGAAGTGTTCTATTCCTTTTAGTCAGGCCCTTGTTCTGGAAGCTTATTTTAAGTAGCTTATGTCTCCAGACAAAGGTGGTCATGTTTACCTTTTGCTTTTGCCATGACAGATAGTGGAGGAGTTACGGGACCGAATCTTGCAGCTGCGCTTTCCCCACAGGGTCCAGAGCAAGGAGGCAACTCCAAAAGCAAAGAGGAAAGTGTTTGGCAGTAGTTCTCCCTCCAAGTCTCCAACTGTGGCTGGGGCCCAGTCAGCCCTCTCAGACAGACCCTGCCTTGTTGTTCTGCACAAACCCTTGGAGAAGCTACTCATCAGGTAGTGATGGAAATCCAGGCCATTGGCACAGCCTTCTTGCCCTGGGACGTGGGAGAGAGGAGGGTCTGTGGATGGTGCTGCCCGTTGCAGGATGAGTGCTGTGAAGCTGGTGCTTGTTGGGGTGGGTTTGGATTGCATGGCTGGGAATGGCAGCTATAGTCTGGGAGGGCTGTGACTTGAAGGGGGCCTTGCTGGACAGGCATATTTATTACTCCTAACGAATATTATGCAGAAGTAAATTTACTTATTGCTGTCTGACCAGGATCCTGTTCTGGGCTAGCCATGTTCTGCTGCTGGAGGGCTGTGTCCTAGGCCCAGCAAGCGCGCTGTGAATCCACACAGCTGTGGCTCTGAGCAGGGCATTCTTTCCACCTCAGCAAGCCACACTTCTGCCCTCTCCTAGGTATGAAAAGCTGCCTTCTGACTATCGAGCCCCCTTCATTCTCAACCTGGAGCATCCCCCAGTGTCTGGCCCACTCACTATGGTGGCCAATCGTACTGCCTCTTCCACCCTGGCCTCACTGTCCCGCTACTTCTATCACCAGCGTTGGATCTGGAGTGTCCAGTCAGGGCTGGCACCAGCTGTGCCCATCACTGCTGTAGCCCAACTCCTTTCTACACTCACTGAGTAAGTTGCACGTCTGAGTGGGAGTGCTTTCTCCAGCTAGTCCTGGGGATGCAGAGAAAGCAGGGTGGATCTGGGGCCTTAATATAGGTAACAGTTGAAGCTACTGTGCAGGGGGGTTTGATCCTGTGCACAGCTTCTAGAGCTACTTGGGCCAGTGCTTCACACAGTTCTGCAGCTGCAGTTGAGAAAAAGGAGAGTCCTGGAAAATATACAAAAGGGCAAGAGGTGTTACTGTGTCTGGAGTATGCTGATCTTCGCACAGGCTGTCCTGTGCAAAGTGTCATATCTACCCATTCTCTGTGTGTAGCTCCCTGTCTTAGGAAGGAAGGTATGGGGTGAAGGGCACAGTCATTCTTGTATTTAAGGCTTGCAGCATGGGTAGAGAAGTCCTTCCTGTCTGACTGCCTCTGTTGCCAGGGTGCGTCTGTCAGAGGGTTTCCATTTTGCATCCAGCGGGGATGGAATTATCAGCATGGTGCTGGAGCTGCCTATGCAGGTGAGCCTGGGTACTGCAGTGTGGACACAATCCTTCATTGCTGCTTCTGGGGCGGGTTCACCTTCCTGTGATGGGATTTCCCATCTGCTTCTAGCACACACCCTTCACATGTACAGGGAGACCTGCCTCCTCCCCTGAAGTAAAGGAGCTTGTGGGTTGGGCGTTTTCCTGTCTTCATCTGCAGTTAGAGAGCTGCTTTGCTGGTAGGGGCATGCTGTGCTGGAGGAGTTCTTGGCGCGGGACAGGCTCCCTCTCTCCACTGCTGCTAGTGGAGCTGGGTGATGGGGCTGTGTTGTGTAGGGTGGGCACTGGGTAGGTGTGGGCTCTTGCTGCTGGCAGGGCTCGTGCAGCGTCTCCATTCCAGATTGACAGCTTGAGTGAGAGCAGCAGCGGCAGGGAGAAGCACACCTGTGTTGTCCAGTACATCCTCTTCCCACCACACTCTACCTCCACCAAGGACAGGTGAGGCTGTTGCCCTGCTCCCAGCGAGGGCTGGCACTGGAGTTATGGCTTCAGACTTGCCCTTTGCGGGCAGTGTGGGAAAGAGGGAGTCCCCCATCATCTAGTACAGATGACTAGCTGTCACGGATTGCTCACCAGTTAGGTGGGCTTTGCCTGCAAACCTAGGTTTGCGTGGCTGCTTGCACAGCTCTGAGAGGAGCTGCAGTGGGCCACTGGCCCTGTGCCACCTCACAGGACTTGCGTTATGCCTTTCCTCCAGCTTTTCCACAGATGATGACAATGATACGGAGGTAGAGGCCATTGAGGTGGACACAGAACTGAACCTGGTCACTGAGTGCTGGGTAGAGCCACAGAGTGGCCATGTCCACAGTACTGCTGAGAATTGGAAGCACTTCCATGGCTTGCCCTACCAGAAAATACCTAAAGCGGTGAGTCCCTGAAGGGGCAGGGGCATGAGCTCTTTTGTGGACGAAGAAGGGTTTATTGCAAGTGCACTGCAACACTGCAGGTGAATTGTTCAGGGCCGGAAGAGATGGGAATGCTATTAACAAAAGAGCCTCAGATTTCTAGAAGAGGAACTGGGCTACTGGACAGAAAAAGTTTCTGGTTTGCAAGGCAGTGGATGCAATGCTGCTCTGGGATAGGTGGGAAAATACAGATTACTTGGTAAAGAGCCATTCTATAGGAGGGGTGTGAGCTGGACCAGAGTGGGGATTGTAGGCAGTACTGCCAATGCACCTACTGGACAAGGCAGTAAGAGGCTAAAGGGCTGGCGGAGGAGGAGGGAGCATTAAGTGAGAATAAGGCAAGTCAGGGAACGGGATGAGGGCTGCATTTGGGGGTAAAACTTCTGCTGCGTACAGCTGAGCCTTGACTGCTTATTGCAGCTCTATCCCCGGGACCTTGCATGCATTGCCACCATGCTGACCTTTGAGTACATCAGCCAGTTGTGCCAGAACAAGGAGTGGGTCTGCCCTCCTTCAGACAGCAAAGCTACTGAAGGTAAGTCCAGCATGTGTCCTAGCAGGTTTGGTGGAACAAGAGGCAGCTAGGTCTTGAATGTCTCAGGACCTGTTAGAGGTTTCTGGAAGGCGGGAAACATATTTTGACAATAACTTTTTAGACTTTGATGGCTGCAGATCACTTCATTGCAGTTGTGCGAAGCTGCCAGAGAAATTGCTTCATTCTGGGAAAGACAAAAAAGTATTGAGGCTTTCTGCCTAGGCTGGAGAGGTGACTAAGTGACCCTGCTTGAGCAGGCCGTTAGACCAGATGACCTGAAGAGGTCCTTTCCAACCTCAACCGTTCTGTAATTCTGTGAGAGGGGCTGGCTTCTGGAGCAGATGGAAGATGAGCTCACCTATACAGTGATGGGCAAGATGTACCTGGACAGATGGTTGTACAGAAATTGTGAATGATGTGAAGGAAGAGCTCCTCTGTTCTGGGTTACAAGATGCAGTTTCCAGAACAGTTTGTGGGACACTTGCTTTCTGGTGGTCCTGTTCATCTCTGGACCCTCTGTGGATGCTCCATTAGCCCACAAAGACAGGGAAGGGGACCTTAGGAGATCTGGTCTGTCCTCTTCCTTCAGGATAGGATTGTGCATCTGATCTGACGTGATTAACATAGTTCATTGAGAACTCCAGGAGTACGTGGGAGTTCACCCTTGTCAGGCAATCTGTTCCAGAACCTCACTGTTTTTGTTTTGTTGTCACTAGTTCACCCCATCCTAGATCTTTTGTTTGCTTGCCTTGCAGTGAATAACACAGCAGATACTGGATGAGTTTGAGGGAGCCAGGATCATCCCAAAGGCTGAGGGCAGGACCTGAGGGGAACCCTATTGGATCTTACCACTGGCCCTGTGGGAAGGGGAGAGGGCCCGGAAAGCTCAGGGTGTGGAGCACAGAAACTCCTTCCTGAGGAATAGGACAGGAAATGCCTGCAGGGATGTGCAGAGCCTGCCAGATGGGAGATCTCTCCCAAGAGTGGGAGGGTCCTTGTACTTGACTGTGCTAGTACTTCAGGCTGTGTCTGGCTCCCAGCATGGCCGTTGCCCTCCAGCAGTGTGATCTGCAACACTGATGTACAATTTTTGTCCCTTGGCAGCTCTGGGCCTGAGCTGTGTAAGGCATCGTGGTAGCTCCCCATCCCTCCTTATATGAAGGTGGCAATAAGCTCAGGGGACTCTGCCTCTCTATAGGTAGCTCATAACCTGCTGCAGCTTCTGGCAGGCTTTGCCCTTTCCCCACATTCATTCTTTGTATCCCTCTGCCCTCCTAAGCAGAAGGAGTTGGGGCAGTGTTGTTGTGTATCTTCACTTGTGCTACCTGCACTGTGTTTAGGGCTGGCACCATACATGCAGAGGTGGCCTGGGAGGCAGGGCTGTGTGATGCCCACAGGCATGTTACATTCCAAATTCTTGTTGCAGATACAGACATGGGGGCCGGTTTTCGAGTGGATGAGATCGGGTTCCAGTTCAACCTCATGAAGCTGTTGCCCAGGTGCCAGCAGGTTGAAATGTTCTTCCTAATGCTAACAAAAGGTAAGTGCCTCTTCACCACCTGCCTCCTCTTGTCCTCCCTCCATGGCTATGTGTACCTTGCTCTGTGTGCTTGCCTCCATGGGCAGCAGGTGTGTGAGAGCTGCCATGCCTCTTTCAGTAGCTCAGTGCTGTTCTTTCCATCTCTGCAATCCCAGGGCTGTCCAGGTATATTGCTGTCTTTCTTGGGATGATAGCTTTAGAAGACTTGCTTTTGAAAACCTAGACTGTTGCTCTGTGGTGGTGGTTTATGTCTTTAGTCCCAAATATCTCCAGAACAATTACAGTAGCAGGGTGAGTCAGTGCAGGGTAGCTAATGATGCTGGAACTCCAGGACTTCCTCAACACCCTCCAAGTCAGCCTTGCAGAGGTGCTGGGTGAAAATCCTGGCTGTGTGGAAGTGTCACTTTGCAAAGGGCTGTCTCCTGGGGGCCTGGGCAGGTGGTGGCTGTGGAAATGCTGTCTCTGAAGCTGCCATGGTTCTGTTTTGGAGCAGAGAATGAGGAGGTGACCAAGGACTCTTCGTTTGTGCCCAATGAAATGCTACTAAACCTCTTCCATGGCTGCCTGCAGCATGACCTCAGTGACCGGGAGATCCCCATGACTGATGCTGATCACGTGGCTTTCATGGAGCAGGTTCTGCAACGGGATCGTGATGGCCATCAAGCCCCCTTCACACTTCCTGTGATCAGAGGTAAGGGCCAGGGGTGTGGCAGTAGTGACACCAGGAGCTGGGGTGTTTCAGGAGCCTTGCTTTAAAATCTCTTCCTCAGCTGGTGTTTCTCAGGTTGGTTTCTCTGTGCTGCATTTCAGAAGAAACCCTGAAAGCCTCTGGGACCTTGGAGCAGCAGGATGCTTCTGCATCCTGTCATCTTGTTGGCAGTAATGGCACCAGGGATATGGCTGGCTCCACAAGTACTCTGCAGGTACTGCTATGCTGCTGACCTTCTCCTGAGCCCGCTCTGAAGGCAAGGCAGCAGCTGTTGAAGAGCAGGAGCGTTAGTGGAAGGGTTAAGAACAGATTGAAAGGCTGGTGTTTTCCCCATGCTTGGCAGCAGTTAAAGCTATAACCTGTGGTTGAAGTCAAGCAGGAATCTGATAGGTGTGTGGATAGTTGCACTCACCATGGACCTAGCTTGTTATAGCAGCACTGACGCTGTGCCACAGATTGCTCAGAAACCATGGGCAATCACTGCCTAGAGGTCAGAACTGGCCCCAGCAAAGCTGGTTAAGCATCTCTTGACTGTGTGTGCTGTGTTTCCTGGAGCCAGGCTACTCTGAGAATGGTGCAGGGGGTGGTCAGGGTGTTTTCAGTGCTGTGCTGACCAGCAGTCATGAAGAAACTTGCTCTGTATGGTTGTTACCTGCCTCAACATAGGCCTGTGCCATGTGCTATGAGCTTATCCAGCTTCTGTTCTTTCATCAGAGCCTTGGCAACACGGAGCTGCCTGAGGATGACGTGACCTTGAGTGACACCATGGGGTCCTTTCCCCCACAATGGCGATGCTATGCCAAGCTGGTCAACCCACAGCATGTATTCCTGACCTTCCTGCCAGCCACCTTCACAGGTGAGGCTGCCTGTTGTGGGGAGGGAGAGGAGGCAGCAGTCCCAAGCACCTCCTCAGGAAAACAGCAAAAGCAGAATCGGCTCTGGTGGGATGGAGAGAAAATTGAACAGCAGAGTCTAGACCCGTCTCTTTGCACCATATGGCCAGGAATAGAGTAGTGCGAAGTGCTGAATGTCTTGCTCTTCTCTCCTTGGACATGGTGCTGCCCACATAATGTTTTCAGGCAGGGGATGTGGCTTTGAGTCGTCTGCTGGCTGCAACTGTTGGACTGTTTTCCCAGTAGGGTGATTAATGAGTGGAGTAAAGAGACTGAGGTGGTCTGGGAGGGTCCCCGTTTCTAGGCTTTGGCACTGGTCTGCCTTCCACTGAGCTGCTGGTGAAGGCTGCTAGGCTCAGCTAGAAGTACTCTGTGGAGCTGCTCCCACACACAAAGAGGTAGCAGGACATCTGCCCTCTTGAGGGAATGTGGGTGGAGGGCTTAAACTGTCTCCCTGGACAGAGGGTGATTTTATTTTGTTTTTTTCCAGATGTACAGAAGCTGATGGCTTGTGGGTTGGGCAAACCTCGAAAAGATGAGAGTCGATCTGGAGAGGATACCCTGAGACCTGTCTGTGCAGAGCAAGTCAGGGCTGAGGCTGAAGAAGGGGATGCTGCAGTGCCATTACCTATCCTCAGCATAACACCAGCCCACGGTACCACCCTTTGGACAGCACCTTGCTAAAGTATTAATATTAATATCCTTGCTATTCCCAAGCACACTGTTGGGCAGATCATGGTAGGTGGAATAACAGACTGCTACAGCCTGTCAGCTGCTGCCTGGCAGTCAGCAAAGTCAGGGACAGGAGAAGGGGCACAGTGAAGCCTCAGCCAGCTTTCATGATGTTCATAGGCAGTAGGGGAGTGTAATGTGAGCTGAGTGCCTGTGGCCCAAGGCTGGCTCCCTGTGGGCAAGGAGGTTGGAGGCAGATAGAAGCTTAGGAATGGCAGTACTGGGCTGAACTGGAAAGTCAGTGACTCTTGGATCGTGATCCAGACTGGCCCTGCTAGCAGCATGTTGTCTTAGGCACAGGTCTTGAGGTATATGGGATTTGCAGGCCTGGCTGACTTCACCACAGGCCAATGCAATCAATGAGGATGAAGGGTTGTGCTGCTGCAGAAGGTGGTGGGGGTGAGCAGTCATGACTGCCCAAGAAGGGGATCAGTGTGGCCAAAGCACTGGGCTGAGTGATTGAGTGCTGGGTTAGGAGAATGGCCTCTGAGGTTTGAGTGGTGAGAAACTTGTAAAATCAATACCTACTTGTGGGTGCTGCTGTGAGAGCTGTGACCTCTTAGACCAGGAATGAGGAGCCCACTGAAGCCCTTTATCTCAGGATTGTTTCTTTTGCAGAAGTGAGCTGTGACCCTGGAGAACAGGGTGGCCCCTCGCGGAGAGATGTACATATCTCCTTTTGTCGCCAGAACTCACAGTCTGAGCTAGGCGAGTGCCGCCGATTTCGCTGCCCCATTTACATCTACAGCTGCTCTTTGGAGCTGTTACGAGAGCAGCTTGTCAGCCCACGGGCACACTGTCCTCCCCGGGACATCTTTTTGAGGTAATACCAACCATACTTGATTCCTAGACAGGAAACAGAGGAGCTTCCTTAACAAGAGGCTGGTTCTAGCCCTGCCTTATTCACTTGGCTTGGCCTCTGTCTTGCAGCAGCCACTGCCTGTGCACGCACTAGGGCCCTGCTTTACTGGCACCAGAGCCATATATAGTCTAAAATGTGCTTCACTGGTGCTGAAGTCTGTGGCTCCTCTTTTCTAGGTCCCAGTCTCTGGAACGTCCCCCTACTGCTGCTTGGCTAGACCACAAGCATAAGGAGTTGGTGAGTTACTGCACACTGCTGCAGGAGCACTCTCACCAGTGCTATGTAAAAGGTGAGGAGCGGCACAGTGGGACCTGAGGCAGGGTCGGGGCTGGACCCTGGATCTTCTTTTAAGAAAGCAATGTCTCATTTTTCGTGTGATCTTACACAGAGCAAAGGGAGGAGCTGTGGGACTGATCTCCCACCAGGAGAGATCCCTATGGGCCTTGTGTAGGCTGATCCCACATTCCCTATGCGCCTTGTGTAGGCTGATCCCACATTCCCTATGGGCCTTGTGTAGGCTGTTCCTGGACCTGTGGACTGCTGTGGAGTGGGTGTCCCTTTGACTTTTTCCTCTCACCTTCAGGGTGGCAGATCCCTAGGGCACTCTGGCGTGACACGAGTCCAGGATAACACATAGCATTAGGCATCCTGGCTGAGTCTTGTCTCCCAACACCTGCGCTGACTGCAACTCTGTGTTGGGAATTGGTGAAAACCTGTATGTGGCTGTTGCCTGACTTCCATGGCCTTGCATCTTTGCAGCAGGGCACTCAAGCACTGTGTTTGATCTCTAGGGCTGTTCAAGAGTCTTCAGCAGTCACACAGCATCAGCTCCCAGGACCTACTTACAGCCATGGACTACTGTGAGGAGCTGCTCCAAGAGATTGATATCACCAACTTCCTGCTGACAGTGTGCAGCCATGTCCGCTCATTCCGAGAGAGCCACCAACATTTCCATACACACTCCAAAACAGCCAGCTTCCAAGTGGACAACATAGAGCAAGAAGAGGAGCAGAGCTGTAGGGAACAGGGTATTTTGGTCTCTGAATCAAGGTAGGGGCCCACCTTGGTCTTGCTTCTGTTCTTAATGTTGAGCCAGGACAGATCTTTCTTCAAGCATCTTCTACTGCCTGCTAGAAGGAATGTTGCAGGCAGGGTCTAATAGAGCCACACAAAAGAACAAATATTTCCAGTGGGATACCCAGCTGGTATGGTGTCCACCAGGGCCGTCTCTTTTTTTATAATCTCTGGTGACATCCATCTTTCTGCTTTCTCTTGTAATCTTAGCTCATTACTGTCCCATCTGGCCTGAGCTGGAGGGCAGTTTGTCTGCAAGTAACTGTCAGACTTGTTTCTGGAAAAATTACGCTACTGGACTCATTTGAGTTTGCAGTTGACTCTGAAAATTACAGGTTTGTTATCCTTTTCTAATGAATACAGTGTCATTCTTTAAATTAAAACTCTGGGGAAAAAAATCACAAGAGAAGTATCAGGGAAGAGTATGCTTGAGCTAAACTTCTGTCCTTCTATTCCTTAGGGTATTTATGAGGTTTGTATTGCTTCTGGAAACTGAAGGAGGGGAAAAAGTACTCTACTGGAGGGGAAAAAAGTACTCTACTATGCCATAGTGTCTGTCAAAGAAACATCCTCTTTAGGTCCTTTGTCCTCTGTTTGCACTTGACTATCCTCAGTTCCTTTATTTGAATTCACTAGCATTTGTTGGGAATCTCCAATCTTGATTTATTCGTATACTGTAAGTCATGGAGATGAGGCTGTGGTTTTGAAGAACACTCAGTGTTTGGGAAGTTAGATGACTTCAAGTGCTACTTTCCCAGAGAAAAACTGTGGGAACAAGTCACCAATCAATGCAGATTGTATAAGCTTTACTGAAGGACATACAGCTTGTGACACATTGCACCCAGATCTGCCATCTTTATTACTAATTTGAGTACCTGGGGAGTACTTTGACCAGTTGACATCCCATGGCCCAGGTATTTTTTTCTGAGTTTTAGGGACTGATTCTGTCACAGAGCTGCTGAGTGAGCATGGGCCTGAGCTTTGCGCTCTGCTCTGTGCTGCCAAGATACTAGGGGTGCTGGCGTGGTGGTATTTGCTGTGAGATGCCCTGGACTGGGTGTTGGTAACTCACATTGCTCCAGGCCTGTTCCTGTACTCAGCCACATGTCTCTGTTTCCCAGAGACGGTGTGTAGTGGGATGTAGAGTACCTGGCTGCAGGATTAGCATGGTTAAACTACCTCTGGCCTGGCTTCAGCCAGCCTGAGCACTTGTCTGGGTCAGCGGGTGGCAGGAGGGTTTCTGGGGTCACCCGGGTGAGGCCTGTGTAAGTCACATCGTGCTTACACAGATGAGGCATGGGGAACTGTGAGGTGGGATGCTTGCAGGATAGATAATACATATAACTACTCTCGTTTCTTGATTTGCCTGTCTGACCTGTCCACAATCCTGTCAGTATGGACATGGAGGACTACAGTGAGCAGGACTCCCGTAACATTGCTAGCCCCACAGAGGAACCAAAGAGCAGTGTGGGCACCAGCTGCTGTTCAGAGTTTCCTCTCTCGCTGCTTGAAATTGGACAGCCTTGCCAGGCGCACCCTGACTTGCATAGAATTATCCAGGTGAGGAATCTGGAAGCTTGACATGGCTCCTGCAGGAAGGTAGAGTGGAATGTCTGCTTCACATTTGGGATTTCTCTCTTAGGAAAAATTCCTGGAAATTGGAAGTTTACATTTCAAGCCGGTGCCATCAAATCCTCACTATTTCTTCTATTGCCCACCATCAGCCAAGAAAGAGGTAGGCCTGGTGCTGCCCTGGAAAGCACCTAGTCCTTGTGAAGGGAAGTAGCTTTGTTTGGTCTCAGCTCTGGATTTGGGGCTGGCAGACCCATGGGTAGACTGAGCCCTTGGGGGGGCCCATCAACAGCCTGCTTTACTGCCTGGCATGGTTCTAGTATCTGCCCTTCCTCTCTCCATCTCAGGAAGAGGCATCTCGGGATCAGGCAGACAGGAAAGGCAGTGAGGATGTGGAGGGATCAGAGGCAGAACTGGCAGCTGAAGAAGGTAAAATGTGCTTCTTCTGTCCTGGAGAAGAAAATGTATGTAGTCTCACTGGTGGTGCCTTTCAGAGCTTGGCTGTGTCTGGTGGGGTCTCTGGGGACATGGGCCTGGTTTGCTAACAGGGAACCTCTATCAACAGGAACTGTGTCTGGGTGCTGCATTGCCACAGAGAGTGACCCAGAGCTGGAGGTGGAGTACCGTGAGAAGCTGGAGCATGAGTTCCCAGACACAGATTCCCTCTCGGACTCCAACACAGTGAACCAGGATGATGACTCCTTCAGTGTGCTGGGAGGGGACTCACTCAATGAGCAGGAGTTTGTGGAGCAGGAGATGCCCCCACTCTTTGTGCACCTTACCTGCTCAGTGAAGCTGCGTAGCCAGCACAGCTCCATGCCCGTGCAGTCCCTGCCAACTTGTCTAGGTAAGAGCAAGCCGTGCTGTGAGGTTAAAAGGGAGTAGGACTGCTGTCAGGTCCATGCTGGCTAAGTAGCCCCTGGAACAAACATGCTGCGTCCTAAACAGTAGTCTGTCTGGACCAGCCCTCCCTGTACGGAGCCTTCAGGGGCTCCCAGCATCAGACAAGGGCTTTTTCACCAGGTCTCCCACTTGCTGTGGGATTGGTCATGGAAGCTTGAAAGGATCATGGAGGATGGTGGCCTTCTTGAGCCTATCCAGATGTGTGACAGACAAGTCTCCGTATTTGCCACTAGGCTGTGTATGTGTGTAAGCAGAGCTGTTTGTTGCTTGATTCACTTAGTCTGTGATATCTCCTCAGGGGAAGTTCTGGGCTGCCTGGAAAGCTGCCAGGGCTTGAACACCATTGACTTGGGGGACCTCTGTGTGACCCTGGACATCTTCGTGCTGACATTGCCCCTGGAGATAGAAGTTGTGAATGCAGACATTCTCCACAACAGGTAGGTGGAAAGTGACCCAGTTGCTTAGCCACCCTCTGCCTGCCCTTCCCAGCCAGCCAGTCTCAGCTTCTCTCCATGTGCTGAGACTCTGGATTCTCCTCACAGAGCCTGCCAGAGGCCTAAGAAAACTAAAATTTTTCCAAGATAGGCTCACTTTTTTAATGATCCATTTTCCCCTCTCTGGACCCTGTGTCGTGTTTATCTTCTCTGGCTTAAAAGCTAAGAGAGCTGGTCTCTCTCTCCTGTGACAGATGCACCTCTGAGAGCAGCGTGTCCTTCACACGCTCTCCAGGGCAACCATCCTCTTTCCGCTCAGATGAGGATATCATGCACAACTTGGAACGGCTCCCGTCTACAGTAGATGAGAGGTATGGCACTGCAGGTGTAGCAAGCCCCTCGTGGTTGCCTTCTGCTCCTAGGAGCTACACTGTGCTGGCTACATGAATAAGAGTGACTGTTTGATTCTTCTTCTATTCTAGGCACCCTGCACTTTCCAACCTCCCTGGAGTGCACAGGCAGGCTATTGAGGCCACTATGAATGAGGTAAGCCAGCCTTGCCTACTTCTTCTTGCTTCCAGCTGGAGCAATGCGGCCACAGTGCACAACTACTGTTTCACACTTCCTAGCCTGCTCCAAGCTGCAACCTCCATCAACTGAACTATCAGGCCTTGCTGGTATCACACAGGCCGTTGGCCTTGTGCTCCCCAAAAGTGTGGGATTACCCTGACAAAATTCTTACTGCAGTTAGAGTGAGAGAGGCGGAACTCTCTTCCAAAGGACTTTTCTTAAGTGCATTCAGAAGGAGATGAGGAATGTAGGTGATGAGTGGCTGCCCTCGTCCTGTTGGGACTTGAATAAGAATTGTGGCAGCCTTGCAAATGCAGGTCACGTAAGTCTTGTTCTGTATCCTTGCTCTGTGTCCTTGCTTTTCTCAGATTCGCTGGCTCCTGGATGATGAGATTGTGTCCGCATTGCGCCACTCGCAGGTCATCAGCACCTCCATCCTGCACCGGGTGGCCACCCACATCTATAACTCCAAGGGACGGCCCAGCTGCCACAGCGAGGTGGTGCTACTCCAGTTTGTCTTTGGACCCGAGCACTCTCTGGAGAAATTCAAGGAGGTAAAGAGAAAGCCATGAGGCAGCGTCATACACTTAGCTTGTGGGATGCTTATTTTTTCTTGTATCGCAGGAGTTCAGAAGAATGTCTCTGCCAGGCTACATGCTTAATGCGGAAGGCAGTGACTACCACTACATCTCCATCAGCCGCCTGCACTCTAGGCGGGCAGCTCCAAACCCTTTGGGGACACCCTGCTTGCACCAGTCAGCTGAAGGGGGCACCAGGACAACCCTGGGGCAGGCAGGCCACGAGGGGAGTGGTGAAGCAGAGGCAGAGGGCTCCAAGCTACACCATGTAAGCTGTGTCCTCCCAGAAGGAGCCCAGGGTGTCTGGGTGTGGCCGGAGAGTGAGATGCGCATTGTGCAAGACACAAGAAACCCCATAGATGGGGTCAGCCACACACAGGATGAGGTGAGAGACACTGAGGTGGTCTGTTGGTGGGAAGATGTGGGACATTGTGTTAACAGAAAGGAGGAGGATGATGGAACTTTTCTTGGTGACTGTTTTTCTGGTCATTTTTGCAACCTTGGCTTGTGTGCAGGCCCCGGGAGAAGCACTGAGCCTTGAGCAGAGCAGAGCACCTGGCCGTGAGTCCCTCGAGGAGGCAGCTCCAGAAACAACCATACAGTCACTGCCATCCTCATCGTCCGAAAAGGGCAACAGCGAGAAATCGCCATTGGTGATGCCATTAGCAGCAAGCCTGGCTGACTCCGTAGCACAGGGCAGGGAAGGTAGGAGCTGCGAGTGTGGGCAGGATGTACCTCAGCCTCAGAAACTTTTAAGGGAAGAGACCATTTATGGCTGTGGCATACAAAATATGACTGCTACTCCTACTCCAGGCCCTGAACACCAGAAGTGGTGCCCAAGACTGTTGGTTTCTTCCTTGCCAGGATGTTGGCAATTCACTGCTTAACAGTACCCAGGGTACTAGGCTGTGCTGCAGCACTGATATCCCAAACGACATGAAGTTCCTGGTGACTGCAGTAGTTGTTGTGAGAGCCCCATTCCCTGGCACTGCTTCACCATGGCCAGCACTGCCTCATTGTCCTGTGGTGTAATGTTTCTCCAGCACATGGGGCCTGTGAAGGGTCTTGGCAAATGCTTTCATGATCAAACCCCTCTTCTAGGGGTGGGAGTTAGGTGGGAGTGTTGATCTGCTTGATGGTAGGGAGGCTCTACAGAGGGACTTGGACAGGCTGGATCAATGGGCCGAGGCCAACTGTATGAGCTTCAACAAGGTAAAGTGCCAGGTCCTGCACTTGGGCCACAACAACCCCATGCAATGCTACAGGCTTGGGGAAGAGTGACTGGAAAGCTGCCCAGCAGAAAAGGACCTGGGGGTGCTGATTGACAAGCAGCTGACTGTGAGTCAGCAGTGTGCCCAGGTGGACAAAAA